TATTTGAACCTAGACCTTTTCAATAACGCTATACAGCTTCACTTACTGAAGACTTGTGAATCTGGCAAATGACTGGAAGGGACTTTATAATTATAGTGTTTACTCCTACACCTACACTGTTACTTGGCTTAATGTAGATTACCCTCTGTGTGTAATGTATCAGGATTTGACAGATCTTACCTGTGTGCAGTGAGAACTTAACCTTGCCATTGTGGCAAAGAAGTAACCTTTCTGGTGTAATTGTGTATGTAAGAAGACCCTTCCTCCTTGCTTTACCTGGTTGATAAATCAAACACAGATTGGTGAATCTCATTGCAATTAAACACATGACTGTGTGAAGGTAGTAAATGCTGCCTAGACTAGTACAAAATAAAGCTGTATCATGTCAACTGTTTTCCAATCTGAACAAGAAAACAATAATTGCAAGTCAGGTGTGGACATCTACAATACAGTGTTGGTTCAGTGTATTTTTTATCTGGATTAAGAAAATATTTTTTTAATAAAAATATACAAAACAAACTTGGTTAAGCCTTGAAGAAGGCCCACATCCAGTGGGTTTGTTGTGTTTTGAGTACAATTCTGGGGCTTTGAAAGAGCAACTCCTTGTGGAAAGTTAAACACATTTTTAGACAATCATGAACACCAAATGACCAGATATGAATTTAATATCAACAGCTCATTAACATTCACAGATTTGTAGGTATATTCTTGGGTGTTGAACTCAGACTTAGAGGTGATAAAATTACATCATGCATAATGTTATCAGAGCGTAAGTGGGAGAACAAGTCACCATTGTCAACAACCCAACATACAGTATACAGTTACTCATACATTCATCCATTTATACACCTGGGATGGGCTAGATCTTATCCAGGAGAGTACATGTAGAGTACATTTGCTACCAGTCAATTCATGCCATAGAGAGTTAAGAGCAAGTAGAATCTAAATTTTTTTTCAAATGAAGGTTAAGCTTGAGAAAGGTTCTCACATTGTTTACAATGTGGATTGTATGGGAATCCAGGGCTGTGCTCTAGAAGTGTCCGGGTGCCACAGGCGACTAACTTTAGTTGGAAAAAATACTTACTTTTCAGATAAGCTTAGGTGCTAGGCACCCAGGATTTCATGGTTAGGAACCTTTAGACTCCTCATAATTTTTCTTAGACCACAGCCTTAGAATCTGCTTTGCTTCTCCTTCAAACTTTAATTTTACCTTTCACAAATACATCCTGCAATGCTACACTTGATTGGGACAGCAATGCCCAAAGCTCTTCATCACTAAGAGGGCCTGCACGCACCTCAAGAATCTCATCTAGTGTGACGGAATTGGCTGTCAGGGCAGGCATGGTTTCAAACTATCTTGGTACTCTGAACAGACAAAAGCAGCATTGAATTACTTTTCTAAAAATGGATTATTGACCCATCGATAGATGTGGGGATTCAAAAATTTTAGTACATTCAGTAACTTCAAGAGAAATGCATATCAAGGTTTTTTTCCTACTGAAAATATACTAAATTTCAGGCAACGAAAATTTTATTGAGTGGTTAAAAACATGGTAAAATATGTGGTATATATTACCTGAAATAAAAATGCCTGAAAATCAAAATAAAACATGGATTCCGAAGTTTTCTCTGCTTCATCTTTTGCTGTCAGTCTTGCTGTTCTTCAAAACCATGGGCCCACATTTTTGCAACTAGAGTGGAAATAGTAAATTTCTCATGTCAAGTTATTACATGTATAACGTAAAAACATTATGACACAATCTACAAGCCTGCTTAATTAATATCAACTTTCTTACTACATGTACAATGACTCGTACAGTGTCCTTGTAAAATTTACAAACAATCTACAGTGTAAGCACACACATTAATCAAATTCAAAAGCCATGGTAATGCACTATACAATAAAAAAATTTTGACTGACTGTTCACTTGACTAAAGAACCCATGTACACATGGCAAACAAAAACCATTCTTTTAAGAAGACATTAATTCTATTTATAGCTGAAGTGAGTTACATAGAAACAAAACACCACTAGGCTAGTAAAGTGTAACAAATTTATATTTACCACTGATCACACTGATAACATCAGCCACTTCATTTCAGTAACAAAGTGACATGTGACTAACTGGGTGTTGAGCTCAGACTTAAGAGGTGATAATATTACATCATGTGTAACGTTATCAGAGCGTAAGTGGGAGAACAAGTCATCATTGTCAACTGCCCAACATTTACAGTCACTTGCACACTTGTGCATTCATGCATCTGTGATCGGTTAAAGGTAGATCTCATCCAAGAGAGTACCCATAATAATTTTTATTCCTTATCAATTAGCATTACGGAGCAAGTAGCTGATCTAAACACCACTTTCTTGTCCTGTATATCAAAACTTAAACTACATGTAATTGCATATATATACTGTCTGTTTTCCTGCACCTTGCTAGCTACATAATACATTATTTTGTGTTACAGATTGTATTCCTCCTATATCTCTTTATGCCATAAGGCACATAAGGCTTACTTATGAAGCCTTAACTCTCTAATGACACCTCTCAGTAGACAGCTGACAGCTGCTTTCGCACTGGAAATAACTGTCAGTCATGGGTACAGTTAAAGGTGTATACTTGTGAATGGAAAGAGACACTAAGAACATAAAAAAGTGGTTCCAGGTCACTGCTCAAACCCAGACCATTCCATCCAAAGTCAAATGCGCTAACCATTAGGCCATCACATCTCCCAATAAATTACAGTCAAGTATTGAGTAAAAACTAAGATGACAACACATTGCCTCAAGTGTAATGACTCAAGAAGCTTTGCAAAAACACGAGCTAAGAGAAATTATTAAAATTTCAAGTTTCAGTCCATTAACACAAGTTGTCTCAAGTGCCTCTTGTACATGAACATTATGTTCTCAATCGAAATAACTCATCTCAAGGTTCTAGCTGCTTAAATTTTATGTTTCAGAGAAAGCCAGCCAAAATTAATATAATACAATAATACAACTGCAGATCTAGACATTTAATACAGTCCACCTTAATTAACCTGGTTGATAAAAGGTGTTAAAAGCAGATTCCTTGCCTATATTGTGCATGTATTGAAGATTCCGAAGTGACTCAGTATCAAAAACCTTTTAATTTTAATTTAGTAACACAATACAGAATAAAACTATCTGATTTCAAAGTAGAATTCTCTTTTAACTTTAAAGGCAAACTACACTGATGGAATTATCGGGGGTCTGCAAAATGCAGTTTTCACATCATCATGATCTAAATCTTGTTCACAAGTCTGTATGAGCAGTTAAGTAGTCACCATCAACCTCAATAGAACCCACTTCTCCATAACAACTCACTGTAGATACCATCTACAAGAAACATCTGATCAATATACTTGAAATATCAGTTGGACCGCAAAACACATTTTAACAAAATACATGTAAATACTCAGTATGAACAGGTAGACAAAGCTTGCCCCTGCGGTCGCCCCCTGCGATGGTTAATAAGACTTTGGTGACTAATATAGTCTATGGTATCTGCCTGCGGTACTTACATCTTATAATTAGCCAAAAATTATTTTTTACAACTGCTCATAATTTACCACTAATATTGAAATGTTGCTCATTACATCTTATTTCTTGAACACCTCAGATTCAACACATGGAGGAAGGCAGGGGTGGTGGCAAAAGACCACGTTGCTCAGAGAAGAAGGATTGATGGCCCCATTCTCCACAAGGAGAGAAGGGAATAATGATGATGACATCTTATACTGTATCTCTCAAACCTTTTATCAAAGCTCTTATATCACTGAATGTACACATATCACTCTTGTTATCAAAGGATAAACAACGCAATATTATATTTCCAGTTGCAATACACAGATTTTTTAAAAAAATGCTCCTAAAAGAATTGAAATACATGTAACTATTATGGAAAAGAGGACTGTCTATCATATTTCAGAGCTTACATGAAACAGGATACAAATCAAAGCTTAAAACTAACAGTCAACTTACACAGCCTTAGATAGCAAGCCTATTTCAAATCCTTGCAACATGTCTTTTGCTTTTAAATTAGGTACCCATGTTTGAAACATGAAAATTATCATATTACAGAGTGCTGCAAATTGAAAATTCAATATCGGGTATTCTGAAAAATATTAAGCCACGGGCAATGATATGACAATGATCTGCAGTCATGTTGCACGTACTGCAGATGAAGCCGGTGGCTACACGTATAAATGTAAGCCTGTGAAGTGACATCAAAACAAGCCCAATAGGTGGCTTGATAACATATAAAGCTCCTCCTGACTACCAAGACAAGGAGATCTAGAGCAAAAACAATTAACAAAACTATTTTGGGAAAAATAAGAAATGACTAATGTAAGCTCAAACACAAGGGGAAATGGTTAAACATCTGCCAAATATCAGTCTATAGCTTGCAAGGGATAAAAGGTGTTTATAAGAAGTGACCACTGCTTTGGTACTGTAGAAACTTCCATAAAATATTAACAAGCATAAATATTATTAGTGTAATGGTACAGGGTGGCTGAGCAATTTGGTTTGTGGAAATAAGAAGGTCTCATTATGTCAATCTTTCCAATTTTTACTAGCCTTTTCACAAAATTAAAAACAGCTCAGAGTTTTGAGAGTCAACAGCAAGAGAGAAAATATTGTATGTTGACAATTAAAATTCTAAATAGAATTTAAGCTTATGAGCAGAATCCAATTTTGAAATTCAAATGAACCAGCAGGCTAAAAATACACTGTTACACATTACCTTGGAAAGAATGCATTAGAAAATCAATTAACATCACTTAACATATACATGGTCAAAAATCTAAATCTAAAACTGTTTACTCTAAAGCCAGGATTTTCGCAAACAATCATCTACACAAGGCGATCAAACTCGCTTCTTTAGCTTTAAGAATGAGTTGCTTCATTTTTGCAAACCATTACTGCAGCTTCATAGAATTAAGCTTACGTTGACCGTATAAACAAAAAAGTTTTAAAGCAATATTCTGGTTTCCGATCCTAAACGAACCGCAAATAATTGGTTACACTATTCTTACTTGTGGCTAAGTACAAAAAAATTAAATTTTCAATCGAACAACAATGTTCTGAAATAATCAAGCAGACCAGAAGAACGGAGAACATAAGACTTTACCCTTAAAATTGTTTAACACCCTCCACCTCAGCTACTTTGTAATTCACCTTCAAAACAACTACTGTGTTTAAAAGATAAAATGAGATTACCGGAAAAGTGAGAATCATTTGTAGAGTCCCATCGCTTCAGCTAAATATTATGCCTAAGGTAAACTTATCTTATAACAACGATTTACTAACTGGCACTGAATTGTCTTCTACATATCAAATACCCAGTGAATCAAATACCTTTCTTTTCATTACAACTCTTCTCTTGACGACGGTAAAGTCTTTTCGTGTGAAAACGGTCCCACCTTCCAATCTACGTTATCGCTTTTCGATTTAGAAATCAACTAGAGATACAGTGGAGTCTATTAAACCGCCGATACGATACGAAACACACGCACACATGGAAGCTTACCGCAACCAGCTGAAAGACGACCAAAACAGCTGATACAGAAATCCACCTTGAGCAACCCACGTCCTATGGAAATTTCACTTCCACTAGTGTACTATATTAAGCACTGTTATAGAATACTGAAAATCCTTCCTCTATTCGTTGCACCTGGTGCATGTAAAGGATGTCCGATCGGATCTTGTTCACGGCCTCACAACAGCCATCACAACGACTCAACGATAAACACTCCGTCAGGATTGGCCACAAAGAACCCACGTGACTAGTTGATTCCACACCAATGAGTCATCGCCGACATTTTGGCTCGTTATTCAAATTTCGCCTACGCAAAATAGCGTAAACGAAATGGATAACGTGGACGAGGATAAAATATATTAAAATATAATAATAAAATTTCATTTGGAGAAAAGAATCATTCCTTCTTGTGGTATGAAAAGGCCAGGGAAAAACAAATAAAAATCGGGTAACACAGTAAGTACCTGGTAAGCAGGTAAGCTTAATTTATTTAAGCTTACTACAATTTAATGCTTCAGGAGCTAAGGAAGGATCAACTCGGATTGCTAGTTTGATTTAAATAAGAAAAGCAACTATTTAAGAACAGTCGAAGTAAAACCAAGTTGTCATTCTTATCTAAATTCGATTTGATCCGGTCCGGGTTTTGTTCCTGTCCGAGAGCGTTTAATACATATTTTTATAAACACAAAATGCGGAAAATGGCACTACGGCCAGTTAGACTAAGTAATGGCGCTCCGGTTAGCCTAAATAGCGCTCAGGTTAGCCTAAATACTTGGGTAAATATAACTTACTCGACAGTGGTTAGCTCTCAATACCCTTTATACAGACACCCGTGCTATACCCCGCACCCGTCCCCTGGGCGTATCCCACATAATCATTGCAGAGACCTTTACAACAAAAATCCGGGAGATCGCTAATTTTACCTTCTTAGTCCTAGAAAAAGGTTGTTCAAAGTAGAGTCAAAGTAGACCTATCCTAAATGCGTCAAATGTCAAAAAAAAAAAATTATCTGCCGGAAACGCCAAAAATTGGTAAAATATGTCTGTAAAATGGATCAGTTTTTTTTTTTTTTCCTACGTATATTGTACAGGAGATTAGTACCCTGCTTGCCAGAGAATTTTTTTTTTTTTCGAGGGGAAGATCGTTTTTTTCTTTTTTTTTTTTTTTTTTT